CGTCAATATTGTGCAAGGTAATGGAGAGGATTCTCTTGCGGGCACTTCATCTTCACCTTGAGAGTCTAAAGGTCATCTCTTGTGCGCAGCTTGATTTTCGGCGGACACGCCCATGTTCTTCGAATCTGCTTGTTGCCTGTGGAACTTGGGCAAAATCATTAGACGCCGTGAAACGCCTGTATGTTGTTTTAGTCGACTTCAACAAGCCGTTTGACACGGTTCCTCATAAAAGGTTCCTCTTGGATCGCCGATTTTTTGCATGATTGGATAATGCGAGTCAACGTGACCGAGACTAACTCCGTTCCTGTGCTCATGACTAGCGGTGTCCCACAGGGATCGGTCCTTGGCGCAGAACTTTTCAAGATCTGCATCAGTGACCTCCCGTCGGAACTTCAGTCGGATTGCTTGATTTACGCTGACGGCTTGCAGCTGTGGATGGAAGTATCCTGCCTTGACGATGCTGACAGATTACAGGCTACACTAGCTACGTTGCATGAGTAGTCAATCAAATGGCGATTGCCCATAAATCGCGATAAGTGCTCGCTCCTCCCCATTGCTGGAGCCTTGCTCAGAACCTCAACCCTCGAAAAACACCGGCGTGTTGGTGTCATTTGATCTACGGACTACGCAGGACACGTTACGAAGGATTGCTGTTGCCAACAGGATGTCCCGTGCCATACGAAGAGCTCTCTCGCATTTGACTCCGGATATCTTCAGACTCTTGTTTACTTCCCATGTCCGCGCCATTCTCGATTATGGGTTACCTGCCGTCTTCCCTCTCACCAAGTTCGAATGTGGCATCATTGAGTAGGTCCAACGACGGGGATCGAAATACTTCTCGGAGTTACGGGACTTGCCTTATCCCCTGAGACTTCAGCGGATGCGCCTGTTCTCCCTGGATTACCGTCGACGTCGCGTTGACCTGATTTTCACCAGGCGCATCCTGAGAAGAGAGATTAGGCCGGAGCTGCAGACGTTCTTTCAATTCAGTGTAAGCAGTTCTACTCCAGGCCCCAACTGGAAACTGTTTAAACCCAGTAGGCCCCTGGTTCATCCTGTTATTACTCTATCAACTCACGTGGTCAGCGATTGGAACGACTTACCGAAGCATGTGGTCGATGCCCAGACCGAGGAATGTTTCAAGCCAATGTTGGATTCTTACCTCTTGAGCACGATGGGCCCTTGCAGCTTCCACTGTAGCTATCATGGCCCCTTGTGAAATACCGCTTCGCAACGAATCGCGGCCTCCACAAAATGATCGGGAAGCAATGGAGCTGACAAAGGATTTTTCCTGCTCTCTACAATCTTATGCTCGTATGCCGAGGACCTTGGCTGTATTTATAGGTCACTTACTGATCTTCGGCTTTTGGAATTGGAAACTCAACTACCAAGCTTAGTGGTTCCCCATAGATTTGGCCGACATGTCAGGTGGTTGGTAGTCACATGCAGAAGTTAGAACATTCCAGAAGGTTCGAAATCGATGTGATAATTGTTACTAATCGACTAATCGCTAAAATACTGGATTTTCCGGCAACTTTTACTTTCTCCCTGACATTATATGAAACAGCTTAAACAGCACTCGGGATATTTTGCTTGCGAAAAATGCCCCGCCGTCGGTAAGTAATGTTATTGTAATAATGTATACATTTACAGACGTATTTAGAGACCATCGCATGACTTTTCCGGTCTCTTCGGAGGATGTCATGAGGAGCAAGGAGAATTTCCGATTACACCGACAAAGTGAGCACCATGTCGAAGCTCTACGAATGGACATGATTGCCCACTTCCCAACTGAGTACTTGCACATGCTGTGCTTGGGAATGATGAAAAGGCTCATCACAGTATGACGTTGTGGATCGATTGGACAGCACGTTCCTTTGCCATCCCAAGATTTCGATCACATTAACGACCACTTAACGTTGTGCACTCGCTGTCTCACTTCCGACTTTCCACGGAAATGCCGAACCGGGAAAGATGTGGACGGATGGAAGGTAACCGAATTTCGTCAGTTTCAATTATACTTCGGACCAGCAATTTTGAACGAAATTTTGCCGGATAAATTGTACGAAAACTTTCGCAATCTTTCAATCGCTGCGTATGTGCTATACAGCATGAAGCATGTAGTGAAAATGATTGTCAAAATGAATGAACTCTTGGAGGCAATTTACGGTGAGAGTGAGCTGATTTTCATCGTGCTTTGCCTGCAGCACATATGTGCAGACGTGGATCGATTTGGATCCTTAGATTCTTCCTCCGCATTTCCACTCAAGTCTTTTTCGCAGCGTTTACGGCGCATGGTGCTTAGCTCCCACATGCCAGCATCGCAGATATTTCGTCGCATTGCGGAGCGTTCGGCGCCATCTCTTACTAAGATGTCCGGGTGTGTTAATGACACTGGTTCCGTGACGGTTTTGAGTGGGGCTAGCAATACTGCCGCTTTCACGTTGCAGGGTTCGTTTGTTACCGGTAAGGATCCCAACAACGCAGTCATTGCACGCGATGCCCCGTCTGTCGCCATTAATATCAGGAACTCGGAAGTGTGCATCTAGCGGTATTTGCATCAGGAAGCACATTCGACCACTTCATACTCTCAAAAGATCTCCGCATCTTTAAGTGTTTCGGAGCACCAACACCATCAGTAGATTCCTCAACGCCGGGTCAGCTACAAGTGTCTTCCCCTTCCGCTTGATGAAACCACAGTACTCTACCCTATATTGCACAGTTGGCGTTGAAAGGGGAATAACAGATTATTCACGTAACAAGTGGCTTTCTTAGAATTATCATCACTTTTATTTCTGGTGTTATACAGCATGGTACGTAAAGCCACGTTAACAAGAATGTCAAGTTTTCCAGACTGCAATAAATACTTTCCTTTCATTGGTTGCTCTTTTCGCCTTCTATTAAACAGCTATACCTACTGATGAAATCGATCTTTCATATGTTTTATGTCATTGTATTTGAGGACGCAACGTAACCTTGGCACCTTCCAGTTGGATGGTCGGCGATGATCAGGTTCGGTGGCCTAAGTTGTCTTCACGGCAAATGGAGTCTGATATTTAACAACAGTCCGCCGCCACCATCAGCTCCCTTGTATAAGATGAGGACTCACAGGTGTACCGGTAAATCTACCATGTTATGCACACAACGCTTTTCAAATGAATACGCTAGAGTCACCATACTGGAAGGCGTGTTACTGGAATTTTCGAAGGCTCCTTCCAGCGACGTAACTTGTTCCATAGAGCGTGGCAGAAAACGCCAGATGTATGCACAAATGATGCTCAGTTTATTTTCAGCATCTCGATCTGTTTTCCGGAGTGCGAGACTCCAATTAAGAAGTCGCGTTTATACACCTTAAGCAGTGTGGATGTTGATTACCTACCCCTTCCGCCAACGTTACAGCTGCAGGAATATTCACCGGATAGTGACCAGACGAATTTGGATCCACTTAACAATACGTCGGTGATGTCCAGGTAAGTGGCATTAAGTACCACATCTTAATAGCCCCATCTCCCTATTCCGGTGCTTAATGCCAGAGTAGCAGACGTATGATTTAGGTTACAATCTTAAAGACGTGTGCAGCAAGTTATGACAAGTAACCCTCATTATGCCACAACAATCAGGCTTGAACATCCGACACCTGAGATCGTCAGAATGCGCGAACACATTTTATGTTCTGGTGTTGAAAATGAGCCGCATGCATCGACAGATGACCAGCAACAGGGCAACAGCCGTTAGCCCAGTCCCACTACCAATGAGCTCCGCAGAAGAGCTCATCACCCTTAACGCGCGACTGGAAAGCCGTGACAATATGCAGATGGTAATGCGCATGTTCATGTATCATTTGTTTTAGATGGAGTACTTCGCGAATCTCGGTGCAAAGTCACTCTCGGAATGCGTGCGCAATCTCATGCAATCTTTAATGACAAATGTGCTGGTACGCCAGGTAAACTGGCTGGGCGTACCTGCGAAGCAGCGCATAAACGGATCTCATTTTGCCCGGACCATAATTGATAAGCTATGTTAAGTACAGTGAACAAAATCGTTGTAGATGCGACCATGCGCCAAAGCTTCGCGGGATGCACGGAATCCCTGTTGATTGACAAGCTTCGGCGATGGATCCAGCGTATCAAAGAGCGTGAGACTTTCCATCGGATTTCCAGTACAACACCGGGGATAGGTGATAAAAGATTGTAACTGTTTATCATGAAATTACGTATCATATTCTAGATTTTGTCGCATCTTTTGCGTATCTAAGCTGACGGAGATTGCGTATCCTGGGTGATGGCGGTCATGTAGCTGCGATTTGGGCTGCGTACATCGTGTAGAAGGATTAGCATATATGATTTTTGAACATACCAATTTTCCCATAAAAGGAACGACTTTCTGACGCCCGTCGCAAGCTTCAAACTCTTGTATGTGAATAATTCTGGTTCCTTAAGAGCCGGATTATGCAGACAACTGCGTTGATCGTAAGAATCTGTTACAAGTTATACGAAATGGGTCGGTGCAACTAATGAAAAGCGAACGCCATTCACTACTGTACATTCGATATGCGACTAATTTCGAGCACCTGGAATGGGCTGCCGTTAACCTGTACAAGGGAATAATGAAATGCTTCCTTGCGAAAGAGTTCAACAGCCGTATAACTTTTTTATAAGTTGTTGGAATAAATTATCGGCGATGGAGGTAATGCGGAAGTAACATTGTACTATGCGCCCGAATCTAGTCAATAATTTGACTACTTTCGGGCATTCATGACCGCAATTTGTGTCACCGGGAGAAATTTCGGGTCTCTAACGGGCGTCTATCGGGCGTTGGTGTCTACGTCGACACTAATTTCTTATTATACATTAATCTTAGGTATTTCTCTATTCGCGGTTACAGTGTGAAATATCGGACAGGTGCTTACTCGAGTGCATAAATTGTATTTTAACTTGCCGCTGACAATGTCGTTGGGCGGCCCTCTTATCTGCTCATTACAACTCCATTTTTTGTTACAGTTTGGTCGTGCAACCAGTTACTTGTTACTGTTTCTCCTCGATCACTATGCTGTTCAAAGATTTTCTAACTAAAGCGATCGAAGCTGAACTGCCTGGACTTAACAGAATAACTGGAGCAATGATTGAGCTTGCTGGAATCCGTAATCTTACTCTTCGTGACTACCAACTTGTGGGTGTGAACTGGTTGAACGGTTGCGCTTCTCTTCATCGTGGCGGCATTCTCGCTGACGAAATGGGCTTGGGGAAGACTTGCCAGGTAACTTGCGTTCAGGTGCACCTACAATGGTCCAGGTTGTATCTTTTCTTTCTTTTATGCTTTATCACAAACCGAAAACTCTCATACTCGTAGTCTGTCCTTTGTCGGTACTGAACAATTGGATAAACGAATTGGAAAGGTTCGCTTGCAAATTTTATCCAAACTTTATGTCTCGCTTGCACAGGTCTTTCCCAGGTGTTAACTTTCTGGCCTACTGGGGACCTCAGGAAACAAGAGCGGACAAGCGGTCAAGTTTCGATCCCTCTTGTTGCCCGATTTTATTAACAACTTACGAAGTAACTTTGCAGTACCTGTAAACTTTTGTAACCAAGATCTGCATTAATGATCGACAATTTATGGAGACTATCGATTGGGATCTCGCTGTTGTGGACGAAGGCCATCATCTGAAAAGTTCCGACTCCCTACGTTTTGAGGTATTGTCTGAGGTAAATTTTCCTTCCTGTTTACTCTCATGCAGTACCAATGTCGGTATTTAAATGGTTATTTTTGGGGAGACAATGCCACACGTTTTAGAGCTGTCTATCCTATAATCTTAGTTGCGGAACGTCGATTTATCATGCCTCGTTTCCACTGTTTTGCCATCAAATTGAGTAAAACTTAGTTGTAAACAGTACAATTCGCTTTGAAGGTTTAAGCAACACGTTTCCACAGGAATCAACTGAACAACACGGTCACAACTGGATAACGGTACTATTTACAAGTGATTAACTAGGCAATAACAACACATACCTCGACAATAACGCTTTCAGATCGAATCTGCTACAATTGTAAACACTTCAGTCCGAGATCCAACAAGCCAGGCTTCATAGAGGCCGAGATCCAATATGATGACACCACAGTGCAGGACATTCTTATGAGACAAGCGAAATGATGAGATTTGTTATTACACGAATGAAAATGGGCCTGGGACGACACTGATTTGGAATGAGTTCAGTCTGTTTATAACACTCAGCAATGGGATCTCAAATGCGCGGGTGCAGAGGATGGAGTTAGCATATAATCTTATTCGCTGCGAATCCAGAAGTCAACCATTATACTCGTGGGTCAACAACAAACAGGGGAACAAGGTTTTAGGTGCAATTGGGGAGACTCGTGGAAAGGTAAAGTGGAGTCATACCGAACATTCTCAGCGATTCATAGTGAACACAGTCTGAGGCAAGCGGTTGTTTTCACTGATTCATCTACGGGCCGGTACAGTTCATATAAGGTTAATATGCGATTAAATAAATCGTGATTGATTCAGACGTTGGTCTATACTTGGACACTGGTAGTCGCCTTCTCCTTTACACAGATCGATTGGGGTTATGCAGTTATCGCATGCAGAGGATGGAAGTCGCGATATCTTAACATTTCGATCACTTTCCTCAGTCACATACGCAACACCTTCGGGAAATAAACTAACATACGTACATGTGGAACGAAAACACATCGGCAACTTTCAGTCGGACAATCAAGACCATTGCAATCTGATGGGCTGCCATAGTTGCTTTTGTGCGCACAATATCGGCCGGCTTACCGCAGTTAGTAACGCCTCAATGATTGTAATCATTTTTGAGTTGCGGTTAATCAACAACACTTCGAATGCCTTCGATGCATCCACGTAATAACCAGTCATCACAAGGTGCTTTGTTAAAGGCGAGGTGGGGTCCCGGTTTTCCATCTGGCCCATCTCTCCCTGTCACACCATGGATTGCCTCAACTTCAACTACATACGTTACTTTATTTCCCAAATGTATTGGGTATCCTACTGAGGAGAGCAATCAACATTTTAACATATCGCCACTTGTGTCTTCTGTCCACATTGACCAAGTTGGCAGACGTGATACAGTGTTTCAAGTTGCGTAATAACACTGACGCAAAGTGAATTATGCATGCAGTTCGTAGAGAGTACTCGAAGAACGGAATGACCATTTGAAGATTGGGTTCCATGATTATAAACACAGGACAGGATCGACATGTTCGGACGGGGAAAATAAACAGTGAATGGCATTCGTATACCTCCCACAAACGTTACCTACTTATCACGAAATAGGGTGGAATGTATATTTCGGCAAATCTTACGAGTTAAAACTATACAAATAGTAGAATATATCTTCCTACTACCTGGTTACAGTGTTTTTAATGCTGAGTTGTCTGCGAAGTAATGACTGATTATGACGCAGGGCAGTGAAAGCTGCAAGGAAGCTATCTCGCTGATGTTGTCTTATCTTTGGACGATAGCCAGTAGTTTGTGACAGCATATTGTTGACAAAGTGTAGGCGCCTTGACCCTGAATGCTTTTTTAGGGAATTAAGGTTTTCTGCTAAGTCCCCTTTTTCTCCATCTCATTATTCCTTATTCCTTAGGTCATCATGGTTGTATGACAGCGAAGTATCAGTTCAAACGGCTGATTTGCTGCTGTGGATGATATGTTTTCTTGATCAATAACGCCGCGCTGGACACATTACTGTTAGGTGACCGCATTAGATCCTAACTTTTCGCAGGTTTCGTTTATTACGTCACCGATGCGATTGCGGTAACTAACATTTTCGTATAGAAATCAGGGTGTGTAACGGAGCGGATCCATTTTAGTGTTATTATCGCTTAGGATTAGCCTATGATAGCCGTAAGCAAACTCGCACCTAATTGCTTTTGTATGCACGAGGCTTATCTGGCCTAGGTTATGGTTGCGACCTCACTAAATCGCAGAAAGCGTTAGTTACTGCGGCCAACAGACGGGCTTGGTCTGACGCTGGACAATAAAATATGCCTGCCTGTATTTGAACCTCGTTCAGGCGGATTACCTTGATGTCCATTTTTTCCGCAAAAGCCATCTTCAACTTTGGTGTTGTCTGTCTTCCTGAAGCTCATTTGCGATTTTCTTTTACATCTGTAAGTTTTATTATTCCGTGTACTGGCGTCGTACTGTAAATGGGCCCAGTAGGGTGTTGAATGATTACATAGATCACGAACGACCTTGTATTTTTCTACACTGTTGATTCTTCGAGATGACTGGTTAAAAGGTGTAGCATACACAGGAGGCGTACCGCCATCGAAATTCAACCGAACCGCTTTCCTTACACCTCTGGATCGCTTGAAGTGGGCTAATATGCACTTTAGAACAGGTTTGTTGAAGTGCGAAGTATTATGCAAGAATGAGCCGACAAGTCACCAGCCCTCACTTCATCTGAACACTCGCATACATACTCCACTTTCTCACCTATCCAAGTACCTTGTTCATCTCTTATGGCCAACTCGACGAGCCGGTTAAATTGCGGATCGCTAAGCTCACAGTGGCTTTTCACTTCTTTCTGGAGGCATCTTGATATATGCTTCTCAGTTGAGATCCGAGTTCACAGTGCTACAGCGCTGCCATTTTTCTCGCATTCTTTTGATACATGGCTACTGCATGTTAAAGACAAGGAAATCGGTCGTGTTTAACCACCGGTAGCAACGCACTATGACTTGTTTGATGTAATCATCGAGTGGACTGCACTAGTCTATATTAGTTCTGAAATGGTAAAAGGCACTTCTCGTGTCACGCTGGACAAGCAAAGTAGCCACATCCTCTTCTCAAACTCTTGGTGCCATTCTTCAATGAATGCTCTAACATCCGAATACTTTGTCGCACTGGTTAGCAAATAGGAGTGCTTGCTACCAGATGTGATCTGGCAAGTTCGATACCGGTCATGTAGTGCATTGTTTTCCGTCAGGCACCACCCAATATCCATCTGCTTCAGCTTCGGTCCTAGTGACCGAATTGGTAAAAATTCACTTCAATGCGAATCGCGACCTACATCACGATTGCGCCTCGCAATCTATTCACACAACCTAAAAATGACCCTTCTAATCAAAGAGTCTATATATCTTTACGCTACTTTGGAGTTGATACATGTTGACTGTGCAATTATTGTACAACACCATAGTATCCTAACGCATCTATGCTTGCCAGACGGTGGTTCCGATGTCCGGACTTGCACGCTTCACGTCGGAGACGCTGCATCAATGACTCACGTTGTTTATCCTATTATTGACCTTCTCGGCAGATATACGGAATCTGCCCTTGTAGAATATGGCCAGTGAACAGCCGCATGTGTCGTTTCCCTCCATCGGAATTAAGACGTATGCGGGCGGCATTGCCCTCATATGTGACAGCGCCCAAACGTGCTAGGTTGCACTGGACCAATTAGCAAAGACTGTCTATCGTTTCGGGCTATTCTTTGCTCCATCGAAATGCAAAGTACTTCTCCAAGATTGGCAGGGACCCACCCCTGCGCTAACGCTTTTTGGTGATCTGCTAGAAGTCGTTCAGGAATTCAAGTACCTGGACAGCTATAATAGCGCCCGTGGGATCGAAAATGAGGTTACGAACCGTATATTAAAAGCTCAAGGTGCTTTTGCCAATCTCCGCCACCTGTGGCGCAGACACGGCCTTACTCTTTCCCTGAAGGGCAGAGTTTATAAGGCAGCCGTCCGTTCAACTCTCCTATATGGTTGTAAAACCTGGCCCAGCAGGTCGATAGACAGAAAGAGGCTCGTCACATTCGACCATCGCTGTCTTCGCAGCTTAGCTCATGTCTGATGGGAGCACAGATGAGCAATAAGTCTGTTCGGCGTCGCTTATTAGGTGCAGTAAGAGCCAGTGAACCGCTCAGCTCCATTATATCACGCACCAGGCTCCGATGGCTGGGCCACGTGTTGCGCATGCCAGCACACCGACTCTCGCGACGTGCATTGTTTGCACGCCGGGAGTCCAAAGCGAGTCCAAAGATGTGCCGTTTACACTGCTGTTACAATATTCTTACTTTTTAATCTATGTATTTCCTACAGATTATGCTGAGACTTATCAAACCTTATACTTTGTACAATGATTGTACCATACATCCACGGAGGATAGAAGTTTGAGCTCCAGCAAATGCTAATTACGAACCGGTTAGCAAACCTCGAGGTGCTTTTGTCAATCTCCGCCACCTGTGGCGCAGACGCTGCTAATGTAGCGCATGCTAACACACTGACTCCTGCGACGTGCATTGTTTGCGCGCCGGGAGGGCGGTTGGAAAAGGAGGATAGGAGATCAAGCGATGACTTGGTCGAAAGGAATGAAAACCGTCACTTCGAAATTGGCTGTGATCCTAAGGAAGATGAACACGTTTGGTTGGACACATTTGCTGATATGGCGTTTGTGTTGTGAGTTTCTTTGTCCACCCCCTCCCTTTAGGTTCCCCCCCCTCCAATCCCGGTCTCATGCAAAACGCATAATATAATATTTAACACCATAATTTTTAAATGTAATTTGTAGTGTAACCATTTTAGTCTCATCTTTTTGTACTGCGACATATTAGCTGAGGTGTGTTTCTCACCCTCAGCTAATGTGTACTGATGCTGCTGCTGCTGCTGCTGCTACTGATGATGATTATTATTGGATTCCGGGGAACAACCGTTTATG